ATGCCATGCAGAAGAGAAATAAGTTCAAGAGGGAGAGTTAGGTTGGGAGGGGCTGAAAAATAAATTGAATAACAGGAATTTGATAAAGAGTTTAAAAGCAAAAGAAGAAGTTGAAAAGAGAAGACAGGTAGGAAGGGAAGATTTTTGGAGTATTGCAGTTGACTCCACATTTGACAGGTATGATTGGATTGATGAGGAAAGAGATGGAGTGTAGAGACAGGACATTAGTGGATGATGGTATAGAACCTGAAGGTTTTGAGGAAGACCTAAGAGTCATGATTATAGTTACGCAGAACGTAATCTGTAATAATTTAGACCATTTCAATTTGAGTCTAATGGTGGACCTGAAGCCAGATTGACAATTTCAAACAAGAAGTAATGGGACACAGCATGGTCTGAGGCAATAGCACATTCTAATACTTGAAAAAGCAACCAAAGGATGGAGAAATGGTATTCATTGGAAAAAGTGGGTATCTTGAGGTAGTGAGTTATGAAAGTTACCAGAAGAAAAGTAAATGCCAACATTGTTGGTAAACATGTACCTTAGTTGAATTTGATGGCCAGGGCTCAGGCTATGAGAGTGCTAGAACAGACTCCACAACTACAGTTCCAATAACTTTGAGGCCTTAACTATATTTATGCTGTTGTCAAGAAATACCGAACACTTTCCCTGCAGGGAGATGCAAACAGTTGAACACATGGTGATTGCCAATTAGCTGAATTCAGGGACAGATTTTGCCACACTGTCATTGAATATTGTCTGTTGAGGGAACACAGTCAATATTTCCCAGACCAACAAGAAAGTTGCAGGTAACTCCAAGATGGGTGGGAGAGTGAACAGTGATAGATTGGGATTGAGTGTCCTTTCCCATCAGCTGTTGAAACTAAGCATGCAGGTGCAGCAGGCAGTGAAGAAGGTAAATGCTATAGTGCCCTTCATAGCAACGGGATTCAAGTTCAAACACAAGGATGTCTTGCTGTGGTTGTACAGGGCTTACTGAGACCACACCTTAAGTATTGTGTGCAGTTTTGGTCTCTTTATCTGATGAAAGATGTTCTGGCTTTGGAGGGAACGCACAAAGGTTTACCACACTGGTTCGTAGGTTAGCAGGACTGATGCATGGTTAGGACTATACTCACTTGAGTTTAGAAGAATGATGGGTGGATCTCATAGAAGGCTATAAAATTCTGACAGAACTAGACATGGGTAAACACAGGAAGGATGTTCCCAATGACCAGGGAGTCCAGAACCAAAGGCCACAGTTTAAGCTACAGGGTACGCCATTTAAAATTGAGATGAGGAAAAATTTCTTCACCCAGAGCGTGGTAAGCCTCTGGAATTCTCTGTCACAGAGAGCGGTTGAGACCAAAAGATTGAATGTTTTCAACAAGGTGTTAGATGTTGATCTTGGGGCTAAAGAGATCAAAGGATAAGGGGAGAACGCAGGAACAGAGTAATGAATTGGATGATCAGCCATGATCATGTGAATTGTGAAGCAGCACAAAGGGTTGAATGGCCTACTCCTGTTCCTATTTTCAATGTTCCTGTGGTTCTATGAATATTCTTTTTGCCTTTTCTTCCCAAAGGCAAGTCCTTGGCAATTATTTACTGAACCACAGCAAAATACTGTGGTTCTTTTTACTACTGGTGGGGTGAGGAGACACGCCCCAAGTTTATTTCAGCTGGAAAAATGATCAATCTCTGTGCTGTTAGTATTAATCTGATCCACACATTAGTGATCTAGCTAACTGAGCTAACCAAGAACAATTATACAAGGACATAAAAGGTAGAGTTTTAGCACAGTGTGAAATAAAACATCAAATGTAAGCTCCAGTATAAATTGTCTGAGACATTTCATGTTTACAATTGCTGTTATTTTTAACAATGGGTTATAAATAACAATAAAATTACAGCTGAGGAAAGCCATAGAAAACATGCTAGTGAGCAGAAACAGACATGTTCAGTGCTACCACTTAACTGACAATTCTTCAAACAGCGAGAAAGAAATAAACTGTTTGGCTCTTGTCCTAGTACCAGTTAGCACCAAATTGTATTACCCAAACACAATAGATATATGCACTTCTAATCCATTACCAACAAATTGCTGTCAAGTTATTTATTATGTCGCAAATGTACCTTTTACAAATGGTGTTTGAATGTGCAGTGAATTTACAATCAGGAATGAAACTCCACTTCTCTCCAAAAAGACAGTATCTAACTTCTCCCTTTGATATTCAATGGCATTGAATGGGCTTCACTGAATCCCCCAATATCAATATCCTGGGAATTACCATTGACCAGAAAAAGAACTGCACCATCCATTTAAATGCTGTGGCTGCAAGAGTAAATCAAGGGCTAGGAATTCTGTGGTGAGATAACTGATCTCCTGTCTCCCAAAACTCCAACCACCATCGACAACTCACAAGTCAAGAGTGTGATGGAATACTTTACATTTTCCTGGAAGAGTGCAGTGTGAACTATGTACATGATGCACTGCAGTAACTGCCAAGACTCCTTAGACAGTACCTTCCAAAGCCACAATCTCTACCTCCTAGAATGACAAGGGCAACAGATGCATGGCGTCAATATACCTGCAAGTTCCTCTCCAATTCTCAGTGCAATCCTTATTCAGAACTATATCCGTTCCTTCACTGTTACTGTGTCAAAATCCAAGAATTACCTTCCTAACAGCACTATGGGCGTACCCATCCACCACCACCTTCTCAGGGATAATTAGGGCTGGGCAAGAAATACTGATTAAGTCAGTGACGGCCACATCCTGTGAACAAATTTTTAAAAGCCTTTTAATTGTTTGATCTCGCTGTAAGTATGTTTTTGTAAGTTGAGTATTTCAGCTTGATATGTGACTGCAAAGACGCTAGTGCAGATTGGGAGTGAAACATTTACAATAGTCGGATAACCTGATAGTGTTTAAAGGCCTCTGCGAAAGGCTAGAGAGGAGGATGCATCTTCCTGAATTTAATTAGGTTGATATTACTGTTTAAAGTAGTGTGTCCAAAGAGGTTCACATATTACATTTAATGGGCGGATCGGACTTCTGCAGTAAATGCCCCCTTAGAATTGCCTGCATACTTTCGGCACCGATAGTACAATCATGTAAAAATGATCCATGAGCACTCACTTGTTTCTTGTGATTAATTATATGTTGATCGAGGCGAGAGACTTCAAACACCCAAAGTTGATACTGAGCAGTAACACAGCGTGTGTTTTGACTGCACCCATTGTGGATGTTGCCTGATACTTCAGGCAGGAAGTAATGTTTGAGGCTGAGTTCACAATCCCATATTGAATATTTTCAGGAAGCCCAATGCAAAGGGGCAGGCACTTAACTAAAAAATGTCATGTCTCCTCTTGGATTAAGGTGGTAGAGGGTGGGAATCTAACCCTCAAGAGCTGTCTGCCAATCAGAAACTTTCCTGTATCAGCAACATCCCTGATATCCTTTAATAACTTCGGCTTGGCATCATAACGGCATCTAGGTAAGATGGGGACATCCCACAGTTGGGGCCATTAGCAATGGGAGGAGAGGTCCTTCATTGGGCGCAAAGCACCTGAGATCAAGACCTCCCATCCCCCACCCCTGCCTCCTGAAGCCTGGGAGGGTTTGCTGTGTGACTAACTCTGCAGTGAGTTCCCTGGCTGCCCCTTGGTAGAAGTTCCAACGACAGGGTGCCCTTAAGCAGTCCTTAAGTGGCTACCTAACAGCCTCAGATAACCTCTGCACCCTTCCTACCCAGAACATGATAACATGGGAGTTGTGATTTCCAACCAACCCCCCCACTTTTACACTGCAACTCCATTTCTGAACTCATCATTAAATTCTGTCCTTCAGTTCTGCTTTCTGCTGCCCAGAAACAAACCTTGCATCCAAGTTCTTGCACTTACCTGGAGTTGAACATGATGAGCTGGTGTTTGTGGCAGTTTTGGTGGACTCCCACAATTCCCTCATCAAGCATGCACCCAAATGTTTGGAAAATAAGCTGGGAATTTTCTTTGTGTTGTTCCCATTCTGCTGGTGTAACTCAGACTAGTAAAGAGCAGATGCTGTACTTGCCCTTTAATAGTCCAGCAGCAAAAGACAGTTAAAGGGAGATCATTTGGAACATTAAAGTTTGTATGTGGCCTCCTTAGAGACTCGGCATGTGGATTGTTAAGGCATGGCTTGTTAAAACATTTTAGGGTCCAGAACATGATTGTAGCCTGGAGTAAATGAGTGAAATGTGACTCTGACCTTTGTGGTGACTGAAATTAGGTTTCAAAGCTAAAAAGGGGGAAAGGGGGGTTGGGTGAGTCATAAAAAGCCTCAAGCACAGTTTGCCTGTTGTTTTTCTTTTTGGTTAGGCCAAACGAAAGCAACATGTCTCCTCTCAGAAAGCTGTCCCATCAACAGGGGAACTTTGTGCTGAGACCTAAGGGTACTAGCTTCACATCATTCAGTTAGTTTGCTTCACTGCTGAGTATTTCCTCCCAATACTGCGTTGGACTCAAATCCAGTTTTCAGGCAACTCCTTTACATATCATTGTTTCTGAAAAAAAAAACATGCAGTCCCATGGGGCCGGTTGCTCATTAGAAAGGAACGAATGGTGATAAATTTAACCTGAGGGTCACCACATCAAGGAGCAAAGTTGAGAAGACAGAATCTTCATGGTAACCTCAGCTGGTATGGGAATTGAACCCACAGTGTTGGTATCATTTTGTATTGCAGATCACAGTCATCCAGTCAACTGTGCTAACTGACCCCATGTTTCCAGCAAGCCTGCTGGGTCCCAGACTCCTTAATTGGCAAGGCCAAACATTGAGGACAGCATTGTGTAAATGGAATGAGGTAGATCGTGTAACAAGGTTATAGAAGGGTACAAGGTTGACAAGTGTACTTGTGCCAGGTTAGGTTTTTAGTACGTTGTTGGTGTTATAATGTGCACAGATATCACCCAGTTCAAATGTCCAATAAATGTGTTTATCCTTTTTATTTTCCAGGTCTACTGATTGGCTCTGGTTGTGCCCTGTATCCCCTGGGCTGGAATAGTGAAGAGGTGCAGCAGACCTGCAACAATCTCTCAGACCAGTTTGAGCTAGGTAACTGAATTAGATTTCTAGTCAGTGTCTAGTCAGTGTAAAATGTCAAGGTCAAAATATTAGTGATATTGGCAACGTGCAATCTTAGCTGTTTTCCGGGAGGGAACCTTGGGCTAGATATTAGTCTGGAGAGAAATCAGATTGGCAATATGAAAGGGAATCCTTCTCGTCATGATTGTCTGTTCAGTAAAATTTCTGGTTGCTAAATAACCAAACTGATTTTGTCCTCCTGACGTGTGACCCTATGTTAACAGGGATTGACCCAGAGGGGAGAGTGCAAGTGGCTCCCACATATATCCCAGTGGCCAGTTAGAAGCCAACACTGGCTGTGACCAGGGTTTGACTTAACCCGCCTGATCTCTCATCCAGGAGCGTCCTATCAGCGAACAAAGAGGCAACACCCAAATAAACCCAGACTTTAAAGTTAGAGTTTGCCTTGAATAGAGCCCAGTGGAATATTTTCAAAAGGAGAATGTAATGAGTACGATATCCATATCACCCAAGTTTCCCATTTTTATGGTAATAAACACAAATATTCCTGATTGGTCAGTGCTTCCTGTCTATAATTTGTTTATCGTGAGGAGGATTGCATGAGCTAAACTAAACAGTTGAAGTGGTTTGGAAAGATGAAAATGTGCTCCTTATCAGAAGAAAAACAAAACCCAGAACAAATTTGGATATCTGAAAAAATTTCACAAATAATTAATAACATTTAAAATGTACTCACTATTGTTCCGTAGGCAAACAGGTCAGCCAATATTTACACAGCAGGTTCCACAAGCAGCAGAGAGATGAATGAGATAACACAGTGTAGAGCTGGAGGAACACAGCAGGCCAGGCAGCAAGAGAGGAGCAGGAAAGTTGATGTTTCGGATCGGTACCCTTCTTCAGAAAATGAATGACTTCTCTTCCCACATGTACCATCACGTCAGGAGATCCCTATGGATCTACTCCTGACTCTATTCTCTTCTGTATCAACATACAGATCTGCAAATGTGTTGTGTTTACTCCTTGATTTCCACTACACAGCCAGAATGTCTTTCTGATTCCTACTCTTAGTTGAGGCAAAACTTCATGTATTTAAAGTTTGAGAAGATTGAAATTTATCCTTATGCATAGCTTTATTCCCTCCTGACCGCGATCTCAGCCTCCACCCAACAGTTTGCAGCATATACAACCCTGAGCTGAAGTTCCGAACTCATATCCTTTCCATCCTAAAGAGTACCAACTTTCACCTCTTTAAATAGCACCTGATTCTATCTCTAGCTCAGCACATATCCCACTGACACCCTCATTAATGTCTGAGTATACTCATCTAAAACCTAATGACCTACTCCTGCTCCTATGTCCTGTGTTCCTGTGGTCACCTACCTCCTGCCCTCTGTATAATTCAACTGATCTCCAAAGTGATGTACCTTGCCATCTATCCTCTGTCCTTGTTGGCCTATATTGACTCAGTTTTTCTAGTGTTTAAAATTATTCTTGTGCTTAAAACCCAACTAAGCCCCTCCTTACCTCTGTCATCTCCTCCAACCCTACAAACCATGTTCAGCCTCCTCTGCATGCCTTCTCAATTTATCTTGTCATTAATTGTTGTCCAACAATTGACTAGGCCTCACTCTCAAGCATTCCATTCCCAAACCTTTCTAATTATCCCCCCACCCACAGCTTTTAAATCCCTCTTTAAATTTCACAACTTCAACCAAACCTATGACAACTTTTTCCTAATATCTTCTTCAGTTCATGGTCTTTTTTTTTAATCTATCTCCTCCTTGAGGTTCTTTGATGCTTTTCCACAAGAGAGGCATTATTGAAAACAAATTGTTACTGTTGATAAATAATCTGTAAATCTATTTTGATGGCATTGCTGGAGGGATGAATTTTGGTGGGGTGTCAGGACAGGAAGGAAAGGTCCATCCAGCTGAATAGACAAGTGGAGCTTTTGTGTACTATTGAGTTGAAAACAATGCCTCCAATAATTCATGGGTGAGTTCATTGCTATCTGTCTTCCAAGGGCAGCCAAAGAGTTGATTTATCCATCTGTAGGCTTTGTTGGTTTTGCAAAAGTGAGACTGCTGAACACAATCATGTTATTCCTCCACCTGCTATTTTAACAATTCAAGGTTTTACTGGAGATTGACACAATTTTATTCAGTAAGGGAATCAAGGGTTAAAATGAAAAGACAGCAAAGCAGTGTTGAAGATTAAGAGATCAGCCACATCTCGTTGAATGGCCTGCTTCTGCACTCCTATCTTATAAGTCATATAAACTAAAGGGATTAATTATTCCATTAAAATGACAGAGAAGAATGTGATATGAGTGTGTTAATCACTTGTACAATGTATAAACGTTGCCCAGTGTTTTCTAGGCTCAAGTCTCTCGGTGAGGAAGTGCTTGGCCTTGTCTCACTCTGTGCTTAGCCAGAATTCCTTATCCGTGACTGGGAGCTTGCCATTTGACAAACCTCACAAAGCTCTGGAAAGCTTCCTTCTGTGGATACAGCTTCTTGGTCTGAAATGGAAGTTTGAAATCGTCCAAGAAGACATGGCAGCTGAGCCTGTTATAAAAGCTCATACATCTTTGACTGGAAAGCTGGATGTGAAACTAAATTGGGCAATATTAAAATTAATACAATTGTGTTTATTTGTAGGTACTTGCCAGCTGGGATGGGCCTATTACTGTACTGGAGGAGGTGCTGCGGCTGCAATGCTTCTCTGCACTTGGCTGGCTTGCTTTGCTGGCAAGAAACAGAAACAGTATCCATACTGAAACCCCAAATATGGACAAAGAAACAGCTCTGAGCAAGAGGGCTGTGGAGGAGGAAAACTGCAGGCAGAACACTTTATGGAACTTGTCCAATGTTTCTGTTCAGTTTCGCTGATTGCTCCGAATGAAATTCAAAATCTGAAATGAGAAGATTGCAAACTGAATGTCAATCCGAGTAAAAGACTCAAGGCCTGGGTTTTATGAACCTTTTTCTTTCCTTTTTAAGTGCTTGTTGCTAGGATACATAGTGTCAAGGCCTTTCAAATCATTCATGGGGAAGGATAGTGCTGGACAAGTTCTCTTTTTTTTCAGACTGAAACTCACTCATGTTAAAGCAGAGGTTCCCTGTAACTGTTAATGATGCTTCAGAACGAATGGAGACCCTTGAGGAAGATGTTTCTGTTTGTTTGGCTACAGACATGTTTTCACTGATCGAGAACTTCCTAGAATGGCTCCATAGGAAAGAGGAACTGATTACAGAACAGCCGGTCACTTGTTTTTCTGGGATCAGTGACTCTTGGGGCACCTCTCAAGCTCATTTGTAAAGAAGTCATGCCTTCTGTTCGCTTTCAAGCTGCTTGGAAGTTTCAGAGAACACACTCTGCTCAGGGGAGTCAATCTGCAAGTTGGCAGAAATAGTCACCATTTTTTTGTTTCCTAACAAAAGATTTATGGTGAGCCTATTATTCTGCTCTGTACATTGTAGAATAATTTGAAAGGATGGCACTCCTTTCACATTTTTTCACCTTTTTAGATAAGGCTGTTCAATGGACCAATTTACTAGTAAAAGCCTTTTTTTACATACATGTACATAACTATAAATATTATTATCTATCCATATGTACACAAAAATGGGTACAATTGTGTAATTTGGTGACATTGTTAAAATTTAGTAAATGTACTTAATAGCATTATTTTATGTTCTGTTCCATATTATCATGTCAAGGTATATTGTATTCAACATGTGTATTCTTCAGTATATAGGTTTGTATGGTACAAGTTTGTATCAGTGTTTTGCTGTTACTGTATACAAGTAACAGTCACTTTCTATGCAGATATGTAACAAATCCTGTAAACGGCAAAAATACAGTAGTTTTGGGCATGGATTCTCCTCTTCATGCCAGAGAAGGGTCAGTGCAGTAATTCTAAACAATAGTCTAATTATGTTGTAAATCCAGCCCAATCTCCTGGGCTAGGGGTCATTATGTCTGCAAGGTTGTCTCTATGGCAGCAAGTGGGAAGAGATCCCTGCACTCCACCAGTGCAAATAAGGAGAAACTCTCTGGTTTTGCAAAGACAACACTGCTGCTGCACCAGCAGAACAGAAGACATTTTTAACTCGTCACAAAGATCGGAATTAGGTTTCACTATTCGGGCTCAAAACCCAACAAAGTTTTGGGTATATGGGATAATTGGAAGGAGGGAAAGACACCCATTGAGGGGCTCTTTCTTGATCAGTGGTAGGGAGGCAGTGAGATGCTGACCCAGAGATCACCACCACCCTCAATAGATGGTACTTCAGGGGACTGAAGTCAGGGTTCACGCGCCCTATCATTATCAAATGAGGATAGTCATCATGATGGGACATGTGGGGGAAAATCCAGGTGGGGGCAGCAATCAGTAGTAGACTTCACTGCTTCATTTTCCCACCAGTCTAACCACTTTCCAACCTGATTTGAGGTGAAAGATAATCCAAGCCTTTTGTCTCTTTATAATTTCAAACACCAAAAATTACATTATTCTTCACTGGTCAGAAGTCATGACTGCATCAATACTCGACAAAGTGGGCATGTGATAGAACATACATGTCTTCACAGCAGAATTTATCTTGGAATTATGTCCACCATAAGTTCCTTAAGACAAAACTCTACTCTGTAATTATAGCTCTGCTTTGAGATCGCCAGCATCTCAGTTCACATGTGGGGCCTCATCTCTCATTTTTGACCTCAATGCTGGATTGCAGACTCATCCTGTGATAAAGAGCAGTTGGAATTGTCAAATAAAGTTTCTCCCTTGAATTTACGAAAGAACTGATAGAAAAACATGACAGAAAGTGGCATTCTTCCTTGCTGTTGAGTTTATCTGCTTCTGTTTGGTGGAATAATTATTTCTGAAAGGTTTGGTCTTAACACATTGATACACAAATAACGTTCTGAGGCAGGGTCACCGGACCCAAAATGTTAACTCTGTTTTTTCTCTCCACAGATGCTGCCAGACCTGCTGAGCTTTTCCAGTAACTTCTGTTTTTGTTCCTGACATATACACCCAGTTTTCTGGGTCACCAGATCTGTCAAACCCAAATAGACCATGGTATAAAACAAACCCTAAATGGAAGCAGGCTCTGAGTTTAATTGACAGTTACTGTTGAGACACACAGTAGTTAAATATTTACTCACCAGGAACCATCTGGCTCATAGGTGTCTTGCCGCAGGCGGTTCAAAATCAGGTTTGGACTAAAAATATAAAGTGAACTTCTTGTCAAGTAAAACTTCTTACGCACATCAGATCGGAATTTTGGATTCAAAAGTGAGAGATTTTTGCTTGACATTTACACCTTTGAAAATATTTGGGCCTGTGACTGAAAACCTGAAGTATCCTAGCCCAAATTAGAAAACTAACCAAAAGGCAAAATGTGAACTGAGATCACAAATAATTAGGTAGCTCTGTTGTAATATACATTGAGCTGAACAATCCAACAGCTTTGTAAATTCCAAATAGTTGATGGGAAAAGTGGTAGAGTTAGAATTTGAAATGTATTGTGACTGAAGGTGGTCACAAGAGTTGTTTTGTGATCATGTTTAAAAACATGCCTTCAAAGCACAATATCAAATAATTGTAAAATATGTTCCCTAGAAATTGTTTGTGTGATTGTTGAGGTCTTTCTGAAATCTTGGGTATGTTCTCAATCCCCGAGCAACAGCCTGGAATAAGAGCGAGATGATTAAACATTTATAGGAATACTTAATATAGATGCTAAATCTGTCAGTGCTCAAAATGGTCCCAATTCTCCAAAATAGATTAATGATTTATAACATTCTAATATCATTAGTTGAAGGTACTTAAATTTGTTTATGTTATGTTATCCTCAAGATATCTCCCATACCTCAATTTGTGATGCAGATGAAAGCTTTAATGTTATATTGATTATCAAGAGGTCACCATGTCCCATTTAGTTGACTGTAGCTATAGAGTAATTTTTTTTTAAAGTCTAAAGGCACTTCAGATATGGAATAGAACTAAATGCAGTAATTGACAGAATTTAGGTCATCATCAGAAATTTGCTTTACATGTAATACAAATACCTGAAAGCTTTAAAATTAAAGATTGAGGGTTTACAGGAGAGTGAGGTTCATTTCAGCCAGATTATTTTATTTAAAGTGGTTGGAGGATTAGTTGCACTGAAATTCTCTTCAACAAGCATTTCATTGATTGGAACCATCTCATAAGGATGTTGAACTATGTGAGGGTGAAATTTAACTTCTCTTAATACAGAGGAAAGCCAGTGCAATACGTAATCTATGATTTTCCAATTGGTTTCTCCCAAACTCCCCCCACAGCTTCACCATTGCTTTCTGTCATCCCACCCACAAGCTGTTGCTTACAAAAACAGCAGGTCCCAAAATTATCAGGATGAAGTGATGTACAATGGTAGGAAGTTTTGGGATGAAACGCTGATGAACTGACTGATGAACAATGTAGGAAGTTTTGGGATTGGAATTCTTAACAGAAGCATGCCCTCTCATGCATTGCCAATCTCAGGCATGCCATAAGTAGAGTGAAGGCAAAATTATTTGCTTGGTCCACTTCTGATTCATTCCTGGTACCTCAAGAACGTCGTAGTCAGAGAATGTGGAACAGTCTGTCTACTGTTTGACTTAACATTTACCTTACACCTACTGAATAGCTTGGTGTTAAGTTGAGAAGCAGAATAAAGTAACTTCAACAAGATGGTGTGCACCTCAAGGACCAACAGGGATCAATATGATCTTGCCCTCCATTGTCCTCTATTGGTCCATTTAGAACCTGCCACAGGATAATTTTTTTTCTGCTGACTGAGCAAGAATTGCTGTTCTTTTGTACTCTACATATACATGCTACTATTATATGCATATATAAAGTATAATTCTATTACGTACAAGTTTGTACATTATTAAGTATTGCCACAATAAGGCTACCGGCATGCAGACTATAACCTACTTCATATAAAACAAAGATGTATGCCAAGTGCTGCTGCTTCTGAGTACCACAAATATGTTACCATAAGATCATCATATTTTGTAAGCTTTCCAAGCTACCAATTCGGGGAACACTAAAGCTGAGAGCAATTCTGAACTTAATGTTATGTTTGTCTGCACTTGTTACTCAATGCTGCAATCCAAATCTGTATTTCTTTCCAATATATTGTTTGCAATTTTTAATACTTTGCAACACGTCAGTGCAACTGTTAAATAACTGATTTGCAAAAAAACACCATGTACTTTTGCTTGGACCATTAAAGTACATTACTTTAACTTATTTGTATAAAAGTTTAATTTAATACAGAGCTACCATTTCTGTGCGATGAAGTAAATGTGTTATAATCATTTAGTTAATCAATTAGTTTACTCCACATCAAAGGGTTTTAATTTTATGTTAGTTGAAACAATTCAGTTGAAGCATTTAGCCACGTACTCCATGATTGGTGTGAGAAAAGTTGATACTGAATTTGGACCTAAGATAATCGGTTTTTTTGCATAAGTGGACTATCTTGGTGTTGGAATTTCTATATATTGGAAATCCATTTGGTCTCTTGAAGGTAAGAATCTTTCTCTGGCTCTCAAAAATAATTGGGTGAATATCTGTCTGGCTCACTGATGGTACAGTGAATTTATTTAATGATCCATAAAAACTAGAGAGGGAATAGATTTCATCCCCACTCAGTGTTGTGTTAAAGAAGTGATGGTTTTCAGCATTAGGGCTGGTTAGCTCAGATAGCTAGATGGCTGGAATATCATTTAGAAAATTCCAATAATGTGGGTTTAATTTCCATTCACGTTGAGGGAAATTTGGGGCCTACTTCCTCACTCTGTCCCTGGAAGTGGATTTAAATCGCAACCGTCACTGACAAAAAAAAGCCAAGACAAATAGGTGAGAATGAAGCATTAGCAGCCAATGAACCAAGGATCTATCTTCAGGCAGAAAACACATAGGACAGGCCAAGTCAGCTTTAATTCCTCCTTCTAACAGTGGCTGGAAATTTGCTGACATAACTGTCAGTTAAGAAGCAAATTAGCCTTGCAATGATGCCTCGTGCAGATGTGTAAATGTTTGCTATCGAAGTTCGTCGATGAATGCAGCATGTGATGTGTAAGATGATGACTGGCATCAGGGGAACCATATCCCAGCACATGGACAATACTTTCTGGAAGGGTGAGAAAGGATAGACACTCACAAATTCTATCAATTTGTTCTAGCCAGGACTGCCTATTGCTTCCACAGGTATAATTCCTTAGCTCTCAACATTGCATCGATAACAATATTCCATAAGCTCTTTCCATGCTTTTTCCTAAAGCCCTTAATCCAATCCCCACCACCTCCAATACTCTTTTGAAGGATACAATAATACAGTTTTGTTAAGTTATGTTAACAAATAAATTTCTAATGGAAGGGTGTATGTTGGAATTACAGAGATAACGAGCGCTCAAATAAAATTGTCTTTTGAATACTTTTTTTCCCTACAAGTTTCCCTTTGGATTTCTTTCAAATGCTCACCTCAGTCCCCAGCTCGTAATGATCTAGTATTTCATTTTAAAAGCTGTACCTTATCCATGTGAGTATTCTTTGTGTGTCAGTCTGAGGAAAATCAACAACAAAGTGTTCAGTATTGCTGAAAAAAGATACATTTTGTCAAAGCTTTTCTCGCACTCATCAGGACAATACGCAAAAAAGACCAAAGTAATGGGAAATCAACAATTTTATTGTGTGAGAGAAGAGTGATTTTTTTGCCAAGTCAATTCTGATGGGCATATCCATTGTCATGGGAATGCAACAGTTAATGATGATTGACAGTTAACTAGCAAGCTTTGTTTAAATTTTAAATGCAGGCTGGTTGTGTCTGATTGATCAAGGCATTGCATGGAAAATGAACCAGAGATTGGCTGTCACTTATTTTGTTCAATTCTAACTAGTCTAGTATGCTTCTTGTCTGCAAAGAACATAGTAAGTGAATTAATGTAAGTGCAAGAGAGCCTACCTGCAATCTTAAATTGCTTGGCAGCATAAATCATTACACACTCAGGATTATTTAGCAAATACTTTCCAATCACAAAATCACATCTAATGCTAAATTTTTCAAATGCAAGCCTGTTGGGTAATGAATATCCTGATCAAATTGTTTCTGATATCATGCAAACTCACAAACAGTTCTAAGGCTGTCATGCTTGGTGCTGAAAAGTGCCCAATCTACCTCAGATTACCCTGAAAGGGGAAGGTATCTCAGATGTTTGGGCAGCAGTTGAAGCTAGATGTTTTACACTGCTATGATACTCTAGCAACATGCTTGTGTTCACCACTAACAGAATGCTGCATCAGGCTAAAATGATTTTCTGCCAATCATTTGCCAAACAAATGAGTCACATGCTTTATGAATTTCAGTACCAGTGTGATGCTAGATGTGTAGATCATACATCCCACAGACTGGTAGATTGTACCAAAAATCCTATCCCTTCAGCAGTTTGCAATGAGCAAGGTAATGACTGTATCCAACTAGCCCGTGTGTGCAGAAGTCAAAACACAGTGTCCAACATAAGGATTGATTCTATGATTGGGCAACATTCAATAAATAATCCTGAATGTCTGAAGAATTATGCTGACAACCAATTTAAGATTGTCATTTAGGATTATGGTGTGACAGATTTTCTTTTATTCATTTATGGGATGTGGGCATTGCTGGCTGAGCCAGCATTTATCGCCCATCCTGAGCTACCCTTGAGAAGTCAGTGGTCAGCTGCCTTTTTGTACTGCTGCAGTCCATTTGATGTGGACAGACCCACAATACCATCAGGGACCCAGCAACCCTGATGAGAGTGAAACATTTCTGTATCAGGATGGTAAGTGGTTGGAGGCAAACGTGTCGGTAGGGGTGTCCTCATGAATCTTTTGTCCTTGTCCAACTACATGGTAATAGTCGTGTGTTTGGGAGGTGTTGTCTAAGGAGCCTTTTTGAATGCTAAAAGACCTGAACATACAATAAGCCAAATATCTTAGACAAAGTACATCGTATAGCATAATTTATAGACAAAGTAGATCTACACACACTGCATCCAGTTGAACTTAACAAAGTAGGGTGCAGCTATTCTGTATTCATTTCACAGGGCAATGACTGGAACAATCAAAGTCAACCTGCCTACATGTAAAAAAAACTTTGCCAGTTAACTGTCAGTCATTATTAACTTGTGCTTCATTCATGGCAATGAGGTAATCAGAATCCACTAGCCTTCCAACAGCACTCTCCTCTCATTCAGCTTAAATGTTGTTTTTGTGATAGTTGATGTGAATTGTCCCGATGAGTGCAAGACAAAAGGTTTTGATAAAATGTGAAAACTGGAAGAACTGCGGATGTTCTAAATCAGGAACAAAAACAAAGTGCTGGAAAAGTTCAGCATGATAAAATGTATCTTTTTTCATCAATGCTTAAGTTCTCAGTTGTTTGGCAGCAATTTAAATCATAGGTAATGCTAATTTTGTGTTTTAAAACTTTGCAGATTGTAAGACAGAGTAAAAGAAGAATTTTAGCAGTTTGAAGCTTATGTTTTAGTGGAGACGATTGTGACAAATTCTGATTTCAACACAGTGATAATGCAGGAAAGTAGGATTCAAGAAACAACCCAGTTTCTTTTACAATTATGGATGCAGAAGAGTTAATCAGCTCTCTTTCCCCTTTGTAAATTTACAAGTATGGAATCTGCCAGAGAATGTACCTAAAGTGCACTATTGTACAATAGGACCTGACCTCAGATTTTCAGGTCAAATCTTAATAATCAACTATAAATAACTAAGAGTTAACCATGATTGAGAGCAGAACCCATTTAAGTTGTGTGTGTGTGGTCCTATCAACCACAGATTTTAGTTGGGTTGATTCAATAGCCATTTTAAGATAATAGGAACAGAAGTTAAATTCATGGCCGTACCTTCAAAGCCCACTGAAGCAAAATATATGTAATGTTGCCTGAATAATAAATATCAGATTTCAGAAAATAATTCACTGTATGAAGCGCTTTGTCATATTTCAATGTGATAAGGTGTTTATAATTAAAAGTATTTGCTTTATTTGTTTAACTTTTCTGCCAATATTTCAATGTGCTCAATGAATCACAGCCTTTAAAATCTCATATGTAACTATGAAAGGAAGATTTGTAAATCTTTCCAAAAAATATATTTTAAAATTACTGACAACTCTGAAGATCCCAACAGTTCATAGATCATAGAGTGGAAACAGGTCCATCGGCCCAACAAGTTCACACTGACCCTTGGAGCATCCTACCCAGACCCATCCCCCTATAACCCACCTAAGCTACATATCCCTGAACACTACAGGCAATTTAGCATGGCCAATCCACCTAACCTGCACATCTTTGGACTGTGGAAGGAAACTGGAGCACCCAGAGGAAACCCATGCAAACACGAGGAGAATGTGCAAACTCCACACAGACAGTCGTCCAAGGGTGGAATTAAACCCGGGTCCCTGATGCTGTGAGGCAGCAGTGCTAACCACTGAGCCACCGTACCACCCAAAATTAAAAAATTAAAATATTCATTCATGAGATATGAGCGTTGCTGACTAATTTGAGAGTAGTTGTCCAAATGAGAGTTCAATACATTGATGTTGCCACATACAAAAACAAAATGAACTTTTTTTTAAAGAACCATGTATTAGCCATGATTTAGTTAAAGAAACCTTATCATAAGCTGGAAATGATCATTAATGAAATACTTGGTTAATATTTAGCATCAGTAAGGATAAGGGACATGTGAAAAGTGAACAGAAAGATGTGGTTACAGCAATAGAAAGAAAAATAATCAGTAAGGGCAGAAGAAAAACCATGGATAGAACCTAGAAATTCAAGAAACAAATAGTTCAGTTATGAAAATAGATGTCATCGTTGGCTTTAACTGCTGGCAGTTTTGAAGTTTAAGGTGTCACTGACAGAATTTATGTATTTTCTTACTTCCGATGCTTTGTATATTTTGTATGGAAAGTGGTATGGTTTGATTATACATTATAATTAAAGCCAGCAGCAGCAAGCTTTTGTGAGTTTAAAGAAGGGTATTTATTCACACACACTTAGACCAATTCTTGCATACACTAAAGATTAAATTAACAAGAAGATAATGCACTTTTACAGGTTATATTGATCCAAGCTTGTAATTTATCACCTACAATTGCCCATGTGACAGGCCTATAGTTTTTTAGATGGTTTCAAGGCTTTAAAGTTGAAGTGATGGTT